AACACCAACAATGCTGCACATTCTTACTCTTAATTACACGTGTAACTTATTTAAATCTCTGCCAAGATAAATACATTTTGCTAATCACAAAGCACAACATCTAAAATATATCCAGACTTGGCTTTAAAGCAGTCACAGGCAATGTTTTACAGTTGTGCTGGAAACAATTTGGGATTTGTGAGGATATTGATATTTCCTACAGAAAAAGTACAATACTCCAATCAGTTTCTTTTTATATAATCAGAAATTCATAGACATATCATAGAAGTCCTCAGTTTAAAACGGAGGTTATTTGATGTAATTCAAGATTTTTGATTTATTTAACATATTACTCAGAGACTTGCCCTACACTTTTAAATTGACCTAATGTATAACAATGATTTGTCAAAATACAAGGAACTTCGATTTACCATTAACGGCTTCCTTTTCTTAGATAATATTCTACCTCCTTTGCCTAACCTGCTGAGCTTTTGCTGCATTTTGTGCTATTTCAGATTTCCAGAATCTGCAGTATTTTGCTTTTGTATGAGGCTAACAAACTTTTGATCCTGGTCAGTTTCTTTTTCCAAGACATGCTATTGGTGCATATGAGAATGATGCATTTGTTGATTCCTCAGAAACTTACTGTTTGTTTCACAAAATATTTGTTCAAAACTCTTAACCGCAAGTGACATTTATCAGTTGCATGGTCGCATCAGTTCAGTGACGTACACATCTATATTATCTAATGAGTGAAACAGAGAAAGATTTACTCACACATCATGAGGTTAAGGGCTATTGATCTACACAGCTCTTGACTACCCCTATGACATGATGCAATTCCTACGATAAAGGAATCAAATTGAAACATGGTAGCCAACTGCATGACAAAGCATTTTGCTCCACACTTCCTGTTTTCCCAGTAGATTTCACCCAAAACCATTTTGAAATAAATGTGTTACTTTTAATGCAATGCACATGGGTCTGTCAGTTGTGGTCAGTTTTTCTCACCAAAGCTTCTGTGGAGTATTAGTCCCTCAGCTCTTACTCAATACATACCAATCACCTTGCTCCTGCTAAGTAATAACCTCTATGATGCATAAGCCTCAATGTTGCCAAAATTGCAACAGATACAGTGGTACCAAAACAAAAAGAAAGCAGCAGCAAATAACAGTTCAGGGTAAACGTGGAAGTGCTTCCTCCTTTGACATTTCTCACCCCACTCTACTATTCCATCGCAGTCAGTGGTGTTCTGACTTTCTTCTCTCCTCTCTATACATTAAATAAGGCATACATACATTTTCTTTACCTACATTTGTTCTGGGTTGAGAAACCTGCGGATTGGTTTGATTTTTCCCCAGTTTCCACCAACCGTGTTGCATATGGTAAGCTTTTAAACACCTCTTAGCTCATGTAGATTTGTCAACATTCAGCTTTGAAGAAAAATCATACTAGACACAAAATGTTCTGCTTCACTCTGGACCTGCTGAGTCTTTCAAGCATTTTTTGTTTTCATTGTCAATGTCCCTGTAGTAGTACTACGTTCTTATAAGCAGTGACCTCTTTGGCTTCTCAGTAAAATTGTTACAGACTAAATGGTATTATGTCCACCATATGAAATACTGCAATTTTGTTTTTTCTGAAGTGCTTGCATTGTAAGATTTCTGCCATTAACAGAAGGAAAAGAAAATTAAAGCATGGCTCATTAATAGTGTTCCACAGGGAAGGCACAAATAAACCCCATCATAGAACAGAATAGGAGGGTTCAGGCAAAAAACAAAATGGACAGCTTCTTGTGTGTTAGTCTGTCTGATGTACTGTACAGTAACTGTTCCTAATCTCTCAGTAGCTAATTACACACCCCCAAACAAGAGAAGTACTCATAAAAATGTAAATACTTGACAGAGCCAAAACTGACTGCATATTTTTCAAATTTTCTGTGCACCATTATACATATGATTATATACATTCAATAAAAGCACATTGCATGCAGCAGTTTGAGATAAGCTCATATAAGGGATGGTTACATGCTCAGTATTAACATTCTTATTATAGAAATGGCATTAAGAACAGAGACAGCATACACCATAGATTCACCAGGAAGATACTTGAGATGTGAAACCACAGCTAACAGAAGAGACTTGGCAGAGGAGGCTGAAAGGAAATGAAGCAAGGATTTTTAAAACATTTGTAACAAGTTTTCAAAAGATTTACAGGAGGAAGACTATTCATTCTGGTTGCTGAAGCTACACCAATTTAAATAGATGACAAAAAGAGTTTAAGTAAAATACCCATGTGCAGAAGGACATTACAACAAGGTATAATTTACCATCGGAACATGAGAACTAGTAGGAGTGGGCAATTCAGCCCCTTGAGCCTACTCTGCCATTCAATAGAATTAGGGCTGACCTCATCTCGGCGTCAACTCCACTTTCCTGCCCATTCTCTATAACCCTCCAACCAATTACTAATTAAAAATCTGTCTAACTTCTCCTTCAATTTATCCAGTGTCCTAGCATCCACCACAATCTGCATTAATGAATTCCACAGATTCATGAGCCCGTGAGAGATATAATCTCTCCTCATCTATTTTAAATCTGCTATCCTTTACCTTAAAACTATGATCTCATGTTCTAGATTGCTCCACAAGGGGAAACGTCTGCTCTACGTCTACTTTGTCAATCCCCTTGAAAATCTTCTAAACCTCAATTAGATCTCCACTTATTCATCTAAACTCTGGAGTGTTTGGTCCTAAACTGCTCAATTTCTTTTTATAAGGTACGCCCCTCATCTCTGGAAACGATCGAGTGAACTTCCACCGAAATGCCTCCAATGCAACTATATCTTCCTCAAGTAAGGGAATCAAACTGTATACAATACTCCAGGTGTGGTCTCTCAAATGCTGTGTACAGCTGCAGCAACACTTCCCACTTTTACACTATTGTTTTAGCAATTGGTAGTTACCATGGGTACATTTTACCATGGATAGTTGTCAAAGGAGAGACCATCATTTTAGGAAAGTGAAAACAAACGTTTGAAAAGGGAAGAATACATCTATGAAGAGAAAGCAGAGTAGTGGATCTAGTTTAAGATTACTCTGACAAAGTGGCTACACAATGGTGCATGGCCTTTCATCTTTGGTGTAAATTTCTTTGCTCTGGTAATATTACATTGGAAGTGATAATTAGGCTGAATATTTCAGTGTCCTTTTGCCAGAACAATTCCGCCTACCACTCTTCCTCATTTTTCTCAGTCCCATCTCTCAAGGAACAGTGAGTTGTTTCTTCCACCCAAATATATAGTTTACTTTAACATTTCCTGATGATTTACTTCCGAACTCTTCATTCTTTAAATGAGTCAATTTTTATTTTGAATGTTGTGCTCTAATGCTGTATATGCTTGCAAATTGAATACAATGGTCCACAAGGTATAAATTTGCTACATAGATCTACTGTACAATTTATACCTGATTAAACAAGATATAGCAATTTTCCTGGAGAGAAAGCTAAGGAAAATTAAAACTGAGAAACATGTAACACAAGTAATTAAAAAAAAAAAACTCTAAAAAGGCTTTGAAACATTTGAATACTAAAGCATTTTCAAGCTTTCCACTGAATATTTTTTCCCTTTTGGCCAATTTTCTCCACATCTTCAGTGAACCACAGTTCACTCTATAGCAGTCACACCTAAACATCCATGCTGGACAATAACTGGAGAAAGCTATTTAACTGTGATGAGTAACCCAGTCCCAGCTACATGCAATTCAGCAGTGGTCATCAGATACGAATAAGGAATGGGGAAACCCGGCTGATCTTTTCCTTTGCTAGCCCAAAAAGACAACGAGGCAAACTGTAGCACATTAATTAGCATCATGATGGTGGTCAGGCAAATTCAGCAGATACCAAAATCAACTTTGAAGCTTTCCATGGAAGGTTCAGCTATTCTCTGGAACATGGTGGCCAAGTAGACCATGGAGCAACAGAATTAATAAAACCTTTTTGTACACCAAAAGAATTATTTTATGAAACCACAAGTGTGTAAGAATTAATTGTAACTGAACAGCAAACTTTTAGAAAAAAGAATATTCTTAAAGCTTGACTTTTTTAGCATTTTGATAATATTATCTAGCTGGACTCTGCAAAGCATTGACAATGTCATGCATACAAAAAGATGGCATCTTAACTATGAATTGAAGGTAGCCGTTACTAATTCAACTTATCTTGCAATTCAAATTTGTTTTTACATTTAATTCCCATTGTTAATTATGGTACTTTTTGAATTTTTTTAAAAAATGCAATCTATTAGGAGTACAGTGCAATTCTGAAAACAACTGAGTTATGATAAAACTGTAACTTACAATTTATGAAGTTGAAACCCATTATCATAAATCAGGCTCATCAGTTGAGCCCTGGGATGACAAACTAGCTATATGCACCAAGAAAAACAGGTTTATCATAATAATGATTAAACAATTGACTGCTTTAAACTCTGTTGACATCTCAGCTGGTTAAGGAACTGAGTAACCGAACAACATGAATCAAGAAATTTTAATGGCTAGATTGTGCCCAGTTTGCTGATCCTGGCAGCTAAGCAGCTTCCCAACCGCCTCAATAGTAGAAGAAAATAAGGTAGGCTTCAGCTGCTTCTCATCATTTACACAGCCCTGTTAGAAGCACATACATACATATAAATGAGCTTTACTTGTTGCCCCCACAACGAATCAGCCTATTTATTGCCGAGTAATACCTGGGTTAATACTCTGGCCTTTCATCAGAATATTAATTTGAAATATTATGACCATTTCTCTCTCCACAAATGCTGCCCGACTCCTACGTGGTGTAACCTTTAAAGCAGATAACTTGCAAGCAGCCTGCATGGTATCCTCTAGAACACTTTGGTGCTGTGCGTATGGACAGCTTAGAGGGAACACCATTGTTGAATACTTCCTTTTCTTCGCCCCGACATTTCAGATTTCTAGCATTTTTAGCAGCTTGCCCTTGTAATTCTTAGCTAGCTGCGTGATGTACTACAGAGTGACTGGTGTCTATGGAACAGTACCCCAGCAAGGAACAAATATTTTTGTGGATCATTGCAGCATAGCAAGTGAGTTACTAAGGTAATGAGCAATAAATTACAGCATTCCATAGAATATCCATTATAAATATGCTAAATGCATTTTCGTAAGTGAGTAATAAACATAATGCTTTATTTAGACTGTGCCTTAACAGAACATCTCAATCTCAAAAGTACGCCAATGCAATGTACTATTTTTAGCAGTGATTTAGACAAGGGAAAATAGTGACTTGAGATAACTTTGTTGATGAGGCTGGTTTTTAAATAAATACTGTGACTGTGCTAAATGCAAAGCTGTTTACACTTCCATAAAACATAATGCAAGTGCTAAAATTACTAATGCCTGGTCTCACTTGCTGATCCATTTAGGTTACCAAATCATTAATTACTTGGTATTTAAATAGCATTGGTAATTTCTAGATGAGAATTAATTCTACAGCTCATATTTTGATACATGATTGATATAACCTCTATTCATGAATATTAAAAGGATTACATACAGTACAAAACAAACAGAAATTTCTGGAGAAACTCAGGTCTGGCAGCATCTGTGGAGAGAAAGCAGAATTGATGTTTCAAGTCCGGTGACCCTTCTTCAGAACGTACAGTATAAACATAGGTTTTGCATGCTTTTCTGTGAACTTTAAACCACATACATGCTTATATTACAAACTTTTTGTAACCAATCTACTATTACTATACAATTCCACAAGCTGCCACAAATGCGTAACTACCTAATCAAACCACTGAAATAATCTATACACCTGTCAGATTGCTATTCAGGACATGTATAATGCAGACCCAGTTTCAGTATTAACAGGAAAATAACTACTTATTGTAAATAAACTTATTCTTCAACAAATACCAAAAGTAATGGATTATTAATTA